CTCCGCCCGGACGCCGAGCCGGACCCGGACCTGCCAGGGGGCGGCCTGCATCGCTGTCTGGCCTGCGCGTGAGTCCCGGCCGAGCCCGGCCTGGGGCGGAGGAGGGTCCGCGATACCGGCCGGGAGAAGTGAGGTCCGAGCCCCGGGCCTCGCGGGGTCTTTTCCCTTGCGGACCCGTGGGTCGGCCCGCCTCCCATGCCTCAGGCCCGAATCCTGGTGTCAGGGAAGGAGTAGGGTCAGAGAGATAAGCGTACCTGAGATAAATCACCGCCTCACTCTCCTCCTCACCCCCATCCCCACAGGAGGTACTTCATCGATTCCGCCAACCTGAAGACCCATTTCCGATCCAAAGACCACAAGAAAAGGTATGAAGGAATGTGAAGAGGATTGATGGATGGGTGCTCGGCAGGCAGGGCTTGCACCTGGTCAACTCCCTACTCCTCTGCTTCTTTCTCCCAGGCTGAAGCAGCTGAGCGTCGAGCCCTACAGTCAGGAAGAGGCGGAGAGGGCAGCGGGAATGGGATCCTATGTGCCCCCCAAGCGACTGGCAGTGCCCACAGAAGTGTCCACTGAGGTCCCTGAGATGGACACGTCTACCTGACACGGCCTGAGGATGCAGGGCAGAGAGGAGTTGTCCATGGACAGTGTGACGCAAGGACTAGGCTGGGAGAGAGCGTACTAACCTCTTTTGGCCGTGGATTTGGGGAGTGGATGACCTTTCTGGGTGCCATGCCCCCCAATAAAGGAACTAGACGAAGAGGGCTTGCCTCTGACTTTTCAACTTCTGGGCCATTGTCCTAAACTCCTCCCTGGAAGGGTTTCCCTGCTACTTTCTGTGTACGGGGCCCAGTGTATATACTCCCCGATTGGTCTGTCTTTGGAACCTGGGTCCCTGCCTTTCCTCTGGGGTGCTAGCATCTGAGCTTAAGCCTCCACATGGAGCCCAGGTGCAGTGTGGAGTGGAGGAATGAGATCAGATGTATTCTGTCCTGTTTCCAATGAGGGCAGGAATTGACTCCCAGCAAAAGACATTTGCTCCTGAGATTGCAGTCCCCTCCCCTGAATCACCTACCTCCAGCATCCAGGTGAGAGGCTTCCTACTTGGTCATGGGGCCTGTGGCGGCCGCCGCTGCCCCACCATCTTCCAAACAGCATAGCAGGAGCCACCCAGCCCCAAGACAGCCAGCAGTGTAGCTACAATCCCCACCAGCGGACTTCGGGGCTCTGCCTTCAGCTGCCCGGCTATCTGCATCTAGGGGTGAACAAAGAGTGTGCCTGAGGGGTCAGTTGAGGCTTCTAGGAAGGTGGGGAGTGGGAAGGGGCTGACAAGGTGCAGCTGGGGGAAGGAGATGTGGACGCCATCGCTGCCCCAGGGAGATTCCACCCCATCCCTCTCGCTTCACTGCCCATCTGGGTCCTGCCTGCTCAGGCGGCAGAAAACGTGACAGCCTGGCTGTTGGGGGGTGTCAATCCAGCTATGGTAGGGGGAGAAAGGAGTCAGTGGTACCAGAAGCCACTGGTCAGGAGTACTTACCTGTAGTACCCGGAAGTAGCCAGGGGTCAGACGTCGAAATCGCATGGTGGGGCTGGTCCTGGTTGCCTATGGGGTGGGAGCGGACATGAGCACCAGAGGTCTTCATGAAAACAAGAAATGGAAATCGGGGTATGGGGTCCCTGACCTTCCATACGCACAAGACCCAAGCCCTCAGAGGATGCTCACCGGTGCCTGCCCGCCCAGGTCTGGCAGGGGGCGGGGCAACTGGACCTTTAAATCTGGTCCCTTCCCCCACGGCCTGCCATCCTGCCAGCCTTAGGAGCAGCTGTCAGGAGAGATCAGCATCAGGCTTGAGCAGCTCCTCCCCCACCCGCTGGGGAGGCCAGGCGGGGTAGACTGGAGAGGCCTTGGCTGGCAGTGCTCAAGAGTCCCAGGCCTGGACCAGGTACTAGGCTGACCTCCTTCAGCCCTGGGCCAGGCCCTATCCCTGCCTCAAAATGATTGGGTGCCGCCAGCCGCCATTAGCAAAGGAGGGGGAAAATGCTTTTATTACCCTCCCTCCTAACAACAGTATGCCTTTTCCATTTGGTTTTTGTAATATCAGCCACCCCTACCTTGAGGAAGGGCATATTTCACCCCTTTTCCCAAGATGGGGTTCCCAGAGAGACTTCCCTACCCTCAGCTTTGGGACAATAATAAAAAGAGTTCTGCATACTCCAATTAAGAAAGCTGTCTATGATATGTTAAAAAAAAAAACTGTACTTGTCATTCTTCTAAGCACTTGTATTATTTTATTTGGTATTGATTATCTTGTAAAATGAAAGTGTGGTGGTCAGGCGCAGTGGCTCGTGCCTGTAATCTCAATGCTTTGGGAGGCTGTGGTGGGAGAATTGCTTAAGGTGAGGAGTTTGAGATCAGCCTGGGCAACATAGCAAGACCTGTCTCTACAAAAATTACCAAAAAAATTAGCCGGGTGTGGTGGTACACACCTGTAGTCCCAGTTACAGGGGAGGCTGCGGTAGAAGGGTCACTTGAGCTTAGGAGATCGAGGCTATGGTGAGCTGAGGTTGCACCACTGCACTCCAGCCTGGGTGACAGAATGAGACCTGTCTCAAAAAAAAAAAAAAAAAAAGGAATTTGTAGAATAATATGTAGAATATCGATATATATAGAGAATAGAAATCTGAGGGAAGAAATTTCCCAGATTTAGCAGTGGCCCTTACTGGGGAACAGCATAGACATGCTGGAAAAAAAGCATGTCTTCCTTTCACTTAATATAACTGTTAACCTTCGAGATTTTTATAGCAAATATGTAGAACCTTTATGTTCATAAAACCCTTTAAAATAGAAACTTCTATTTACTGTGCCCCTAACTACCTAGCCCTGTCAGGTGCAGGGGCTACAGAGTCAAGGCACTGTTAGGGTTGTTAGGACCCCAATCCTTTTAGGGAAGTGATGGGTATAAGTGAGTGGTGGCGAGTTCTTGTCAGTTTCTTCTCTGTAGGATTGAGTTCAGGGAGGGCAGGGACTGGTTAGGCCTTCACCTCTGTATCTGGTGCCAGCTCAAGATAGGTATTTGATGAAATCAGGATGTGTCTACCAAACGCTGAGATAAAGACTCTGTTAGAATTTTTTTGTGAGTCAGAGTCTACTCTGTCACCCAGGCTGGAGTGTAGTGGCATGCTCACGGCTACTGCAGCCTTGACCTGCTGAGCTCAGGTGATCCGCCTCAGCCTTCCAAGTAGCTGGAACCACAGGCATGCGCTACCACACCTGGTTAATTTGTTTTGTTTATTGTAGAGAAGAGGTCTCGCCAAGTTGCCAGGCTGTTCGAATTCCTGGGCTCGGGCAATCTTCTTGCCTCTGCCTCCCAAAATGTTGGGATTACAGGCATGAGCCACCATGCCCGACTGGCTCTGTTAGAACTTACTAGACTTCCCCAGAGTGTTAAAGGAGAAGGCAGCACGGAGTATTCAAGGGACACTGATGGTGCAGGGTGTGAGGACATGAGGCAAAGGACAAAGCCAGAGAGGTAGAGGGAGTGTTGAAGATGTGGAGACTACTGGTTCACAGAACAAAGGAGGAACCTGGACAGCTGAGGGAGGCAGCTGCTGGTCTACACTTGCTGTTCAATGCCAAGTGTGAAGGTAGAATGGGGCTCACCAGAGCTGGCCATGTTCCAAGGAGGCTGGAGCTCTCAACTTGGAGGTGAAACTATTAAACGATGACAACACACACACTACATGAGCCATTAGTTGGCCAAATTCATACTTTGAGTCTCTGCATTGCAGAAAAAATGGTGACAGACTGAACGTGTTGGGTCACTGGTAGAGATTCAGAAATAGGTGACATGGTCCGGGCAGGTTCTGGGAAGGTCTCCCAGGTTTCGCCCCACAGAATTAAAGCAATAACTCAGATCTACCCCGTGTGACATATTTCATAGTACTTAAAGGATGTCCTCACTGTTCTAAGGTCTAAGTAACCGTTTTTCAGAGGGGAGGGAACAGGTTCAGAGAGGTGTAGAGATTGGACTCAGGCACATAGCAATTGAGTGTGGAACTGATTCTATCTGATTCCAAAGTCCTGGAAGTCCCCTGGCCTGAGATACAATGATGATGATGAACATTTAGTATGTGTCAAATGTTTTTCTAAGATGAAAGCTCTTACCCTGGGGTTCAGAATTCAGAGGATCCATAAACTTGAATGGGCAAAAAATGATATTTTCATTTTCACTAACCTCTAACCAAATCTACCATTTTCTTCTGTATAAATTGAATAGTAGCAGTATCTTCAGCTTTGTCACCGCTAGAAATCACAGATATCTTCATATCAAGGTGTAGTTATCGCAAGTATCTCAAAATACTTACATTCATAACTATGTCAAAATCATGGTAGTTATTAACCCACCACCACATCACACCTGGTCCCCCTCTGAGGTAATTCAGACTCCTGTGACGTAGCTACCCCTCTCGGGCCCTTCTATGCCCAGCAGTGGTTCAGTGAACAAATGGTGTATCTGTCATTCCCACAAGGCTTCTCCCCTACTCTTCTGCATTCTGTCTTCACCTGTTTGCTGGTCAAATATGAGAGAAGGTGAGCTAAAGACCACCCACAGTTTCATGTTTGTTTGTTTTTTTTTTTTTTTTGAGTTGGGGGTCTCACTCTGTCACCCAAGCCGGAGTGCAGTGGCATGCTCACAGCCACCACAGCTTCAACCTGCTAGGCTCAGGCCATCCTTCTGTCTCAGCCTTCCAAGTAGCTGGAACTGTAGGCATGTGCCACTATGCCCGGCTAATTTTTTTATTTACTGTAGAGTTTAGGTCTCACCAAGTTGCCAGGCTGTTCTTGAACCCATGGGCTCTGGCAATCCTCTCACTTTGGCCTCCCAAAGTGCTGGGATTATAGGCAAGAGCCACTGCATCCAGCTGGTTTCATGTTCTTATTCAAGCTCAACAACACACACAGGTCATTAAAAAGAAAAGTAACTTTAATTTGCCAGTTTTTTGTTGTTGTTGTTTTTTAAGTTGGAGTCTCACTCTGTCACCCAGACTGGAGTACAGTGGCACACTCCCGGTCACCGCAGCCTTGACCTGCTGGGCTCCGGTGATCCTTCCGCCTTAGCCTTCCAGGTAGCTGGTACTACGGGCGCACGCTACCACGCCTGGCTAATTTTTTGATTTATTGTAGAGATTTGGTCTCACCAAGTTGCCCAGACGGGTCTCGAACCCACGGGCTCAGGTAATCCACTCACCTCAGCCTCCCAAAGCACGGGATTACAGGCTGAGCCACCGAACCTGGCTGTTATTTAATATTAATAGACATATTACTATATCATAAATTTGTGTATTTAAATATATTTTTGATAATTGTTGTCCTTGTAGTCGAAAGCATTTTGTGCTTTTAAAAGCATTATTCTGAGAAAGGGTCCATAGGCCTCACCAGATGCCAAAGGGTTCACAGTACAAAATAAAGGAGGGGGGCTAAAACCCCCAGTTCTAAAAGTTTTTGAAGCATTCACTCAGATACTCTGCATAGCTGCCCTCTGAGCTAGGGGCTATTATATCTGTTTTACAGACCAGGAAACTGAGGCACAGAGGTTCAGGTCAGCCCCAGGTCACATAGCTAATGAGAGCTGAGACACCCACAGGCCTGGCCCCTATCTCTGTGCTTTGCCATTGGCTTACAGCTCCCTTTGCGGCCCCTTCTAGAGGAGCCCGAGGGTCAGGGTCTCACCCTGCCATATAAGCCCAGTTTTGAGTGGGATCTCAGGCCATCTCTGAGGTCACAGGAGTCACACACACATCAGTGGCACTGCCTCCTGGCCTGGTGCCCAGCTGCCAAAGCCCTGGGATGCCTGAAGGGCGGGGCAGGAGGCGGGCAGGCGGTGAGCCAATGACTGTCGCGGCTCTTCACCTGGCTGGTCACGTGGGCCAAGGTATGCAGCCGCTCCGCCTAGGTCCTAGCCTGGCCCCTCCCCAGGCTTGGGCACTGGGAGCGGAAATTCCTGCGCGGGCGGGACAGAAAGGGCGTCAATCTGAACAGTGCTGTCCTGGAGCTGGCCCATGGAGCCCGTAGAGACCTGGCCCCCGGCGAAGGTGGCAGCCTGGCTGCGAGGTAAGTGGGGTTGGGGCAGAGTTGGGCTCCAGGGGGGCTAGGTGTGCTGTTCTGCTGGCAGAGGGACGGGAAGAGGAAAAGGAAAAGAACCGGCCGAGTCTTTCAGTCGGTTAGTCAGTCAACAAGTATTTATGGAGCGTCTGCCATGTACCAAGTACTGTGTTGGACAGAGGAATTGACAAGATGACTCCGGAGGGGCTCAGGACCCGGAAGAGGGTCCCCCATCGCCACAGAATCCCAAAAGGCTGCCAGGGTGGCGTTGGGGAGGCGGCAGTGTTTTGAAAACTTTAGGGAGGCCAGGCAGGCCCACGCCCACTGTTATCTCCTTCATCTTCCTTGGCCCCAGGGCCATTTTCTGAAGCAGAAACTGATATACAGAGCCAAGAAGTGATTTGTCCAGTCTAGGAACAGGTCCTGCCCTGATGTCTTTTCCCCTCTCCCCACCCCAAGACTCCCAGTGAGAAAAGCAGCAGCCCCAGCCAGACTGAAAGGGTTGCCACAGCTACATCCTTGGGCTTCCTTCCAAGGGGAGATGCTCTCCAGGCTTTGTGAGCCCAGACAGGTGGGAAACAACATGGACTGAGACAGACTCAGAAAAGTGAGGGGCTCCTGACCCTGCAGCTGGGAGCAGGGTGTCAGGACACCCCTCCTGGAGTGGGGAGCTGGAGCACCTTGGGGGCAGGCACAGAGGGACCAGCCTGGGAAGGGCAGGGATTTGCGGCTAGAGTCAGACTTCCAGGCTGGGTTCCAGGCCCAGTTCCACCATTTGCCAGCTCTGTGACCACAAGTCTCCATTTTTCTATGAAATGTAAAAGGCAACTGACCTCATGAAGCGGACGAAATGAGACAATCATGGCAAGGCTGGCACTTGTAGCTCTGTGTCTGGGTCTGTCAGGAGGGTGGCGGCTCAACACAGTCACTGTGCGTATGTGGAAGGAAGTTGTTCAAGGCCCATAGTCAGGTGTAACAGGCGTATGAGACCTTAATGTCACACAGGGAGTGAGGGAGGGCTATTGATCACACACACATTTCACAATGAAGGGCCTGGCTCCGGAGGGGAGGAGCTACTTAACCTCTGTTTGTGTCAATTTTCCCATCTGTAAAACAGGAATAACAACAGTCCCTAACTCCAGCAATGTGAGGATCAAATGTGTTAACATGCGTAAAGCCCTTAAAACTTTGCCTAGCACATAGTGAGCACTTGACTGATTCTGTTCTTACACTTGAGTGTCTACCTTGTGCCAGGCACAGACTAGGGGTTAGAGAAGAAAGGTTATTTAAAGCCTGATCTTTGAAGAGCCTGTAATAAAGTGGGAAAGTCCAATGTTCAAGTTCAGGGGTTTGTGTAGGCTCAGGGGACAATGGGAACAAGAGAAGAAGCCTTTAATCCGCCTGGGGAGTTATGGAGGGCTTCCTGGAGGAATTGGATAATTCTAGATAGAAAAGGATGTGAAGGAGCTGGAAGAACAGTCCAGGCAAGAGGAATAGCACATGCAAGGACCCTCAAGTAAAAGAGTATTCTAGCCGGGCTCGGTGGCTCAGCCTGTAATCCCGGGCTTTGGGAGGCCGAGGTGAGTGGATTGCCTGAGCCGCGGGTTCGACAACTTGGCGACAACTGGGCAACTTGGCGAGACCTCATCTCTACAATAAATCAAAAAATTGGGCGTGGTAGCGCGCGCCTGTGATGCTGGCTACCTGGAAGGCTGAGGCGGAAGGATCGCCGGAGCCCAGCAGGTCGAGGCTGTGGTAGTCGGGAGCGGCCACTGCACTCCAGTCTGGGCAACAGAGTGAGATTCCAACTCATATAAATAAATAAATAAAAGAGTATTCTAGAAGCTGCAAAGAGTTAGTGCTCCGCATCTGAAGTGAGTTCCCTTGAGTTCAAGGGGCTGTGCAGAACATGATTCTGGAAAGGCAGGTGGTGGCCTGATCATAAAGGGCCTGTAGATCAGAGGTCCCCAATCCCAGGGTCACCTGTTAGGAACCAGCAAGCGGTGAGCAGCAGGCAAGCGAACGAAGCTTCATCTGTATTTACAGCTGCTTCCCATCGCTCGCATTACCGCCTGAGCACCACCTCTTGTCAGATCAACAGTGGCATTATATTCTCATAGGAGTACAAACACTGTTGTGAACTGTACATGTGAGGGATCTAGAAATAAAGTGCACAATAAATGTAATGTACTTGAATCATCCTGAAACCACGCCCCCCCCCCCCCCTCCCTGGAAAAATTGTCTTCCATCGAAACTGATCCATGACGCCAAAAAGGTTGGGGACCACTGCTATAGATCATGGTAGAGTCTGGCAATACTAATACGATGGCTGGTATTGACTGCATGAACCAGACAGTGGGCCACGTGCTTGACATATGTCATTTAGTACCCACATGAATGGTACTAATGAAGGTAGGTACTTTCATTAATCCCATTTTACAGGTGAGGAAACTGAGGCACAGAGTAGTTCTCTGACTTGCTCAGGTGTCAGCATGCAGGTCTCCATGACTCTGAAGCCCCTTATCCCCTTATCACTAGTACTCAGACTTAAGGGGGCATCAAAAACATGCAGGATTTGTTAAAATACAGACTGCTGGGCTCTGCCCCTGAGTTTTGGATTCAGCAGGTGTGGGTGAAGTCTGAAAATCTGTATATATATATATTTTTTAAGTCAGAGTCTCACTCTTTCACCCAGGCTGGAGTGCAGTGGCACACTCACGGCCACTGCAGCCTCGACCTACTGGGCTCAGGCAATCCTTCCACCTCAGCCTTCCAAGTAGCCAGAACTACAGGCACGCACTACCACAGCTGGCTAATTTTTTTATTTATTGTAGAGCTGAGGTCTTACCAAGTTGCCCAGGCTGGTCTCAAACCTGTGGCCTCAGGCAATCCTCTTACCTCTGCCTCCCAAAGTGCTGGGATTATAGGCATGAGCCCCCCTGCCCAGCCTGAAAATCCGTATTTCTGGATTTTTTTTTTTTTTTTTTTTAGTTGGAGTCTCACTCTGTTGCCCAGACTGGAGTGCAGTGCTCGCTCCCGGGCACCGCAGCCT